ATTATTCATTCCCAGTTCTCCTTTCATTGCTTTCCACATTATGCATCTTGAAAGGCTACTTATATTACTACTAAGTCAATTACATTAACGTTGTTCAGTTGTAAGGACATTATATAAAGACAACGACAAAGTTATTTGCATATATTTGTATTTTTTGCAAGAATACTCAAACTAAAGCTCCCAAATTTTAATTAAGAGTGTCAATATTTAGCTTGAAAGCATGATCTGGCATCTCTGATTTGGAGTTAAAAAACATAGCATAAAATGACTTTGTTGTCTTTATGTCTTACTTTACAACGAACAACTTGCCAAATTGATAAATAAGATTGATGAAAAAATCTCAGCAAGAAACAGGAATCTCCGATATTCGTAACAAAATATGTAAATRATTATGTAAATAACTGTTCGTTTAGAATATTACAGTACAGTACCTTATTGAATTCCCTTCGTTTACTGTAGATATCGTGAAAGACAGTGCTAAAGAATATACAGTAAGTATAACATACAGTAATAGGCAGAGAAGGACAAATTTGTTGATAAAAGTTTTAACTTAAAAGTTGAACATTAAACTCACATTTTCAGTGTATATGTTTTCCAGGCAGATGACAGCAATCAGTTTAAAACTATGGTAACGTTTGACTGCCGTGGCGTGGAACCTACTGCTTTCTCACCGAGGGTAACCAATCAGCTTCTTCTTACATCAGCGAATCAGATTTCATAGCGTTTTTGCTGCATCTGTTATTAAAAACGTCAGCTTTAATTATCTCAAGAAATTCAGTTTGACGTATGTTTTCAAAAACGGGCAGATTCCTTAATCAACTCGATCAATGTTTGGTTGAACATATTACCCCGTTTGTTTACTAGGTAAGTGTGAATTATGCTGTAACATTTCCATTTGTTTTTTCAGACCGGCTTTGTGGCTGAAGGCGCTGAAACGACATCAAAATTTACAGACATCAACTTAAGTGATCTTGTGAGAATCTATAACCGTTTTCTATAATCTTGA